AGAGAGAGAGAGAGAGAGAGAGAGAGAGAGAGAGAGAGAGAGCAAGAGAGAGCAAGAGAGAACAGTAAAAGGGGTAAGAGAGAGGGGAAGAGAGAGAGAGAGAGAGAAAAAGAGAGAGAGGAGAGGAGAGAGCTACTTGAAGTATCGCTTGAGAGTCACACGGCCGATAGGCTTTCATCTTTCACGGCAAAGCAACGGATCGGTTCTTTGAAGGATGCCAAAGTAAAGACGCCGGGGTGCGAGAGGTTGTATCTGAGATTCAAAGGGTCGGCCAGGCTGGCTTTTGCCTTTGGGGATAGGATTCGCGTGCTAGGTGCTTGTTACAGTGAATAAAGGTGAATACGTTATTTTTCGCGGTAGATTCTGAAAGTGGTGCTATTTGATGCATGTGTCTTATATGCGCACACTGGTGTCGAGTTCGCTTGACGGCTAGGTAAGTCTTTGGAACTACGTCCTGTATGAGAACTCATTTTGCCGGCAAGCTAACAGCTTGTATCGCAGCTGAACATTCAACAGTGATCGCAGGCGTTTAATCCTCGAGTTATAGGCGACACCGTGATTTTTAACATGAAATTAACAGAACCGTCTTATGTGTGATTCAAGAAAGACTAAATAATGTGAAACCGTTAGAATCGGAAGCTAACAGAAAAATAGAATTAAACTTCTGATGATTCTTTTCTGTCGAAAGGATAACATGAAACGTGCGTACACTTCATCAGGAATTCAACATGTTCTTTTTAAGAAGGATTTTTGAAACATTGGAACCTCAACAAGTGTCATATTTGAAACTTTGATTACTTGAAATTGACTTAAACGACAAGGTGAGGTCAACGATCATCCCGTTCGGTGTGATCCATCGAAATTTTGCAATATGTTCACGCCAAAGTCAGATACTACACTAAAAAAATATTGTTATATAATGAAAAAATTTGTTTTTGTTAAATCGTTGTTTATTTAACCTGATGCAAATTTTAATATGCGAAAGAAAACAAGTAAACTCACACGGAAAAAAGAATTCTGTTGGTGCAACCGAATTTTCGGTTGCTCAGGGATCAAACGAAAACTCGGCTGTAGGAACGGAAAAATTCCTTTATGAGACTTCTGCATAGTCAATTGTTCTCAGTTGCCTCAACCGAGTTCTAATATCGTTGAATGTTCAGACGAATATTTTCGGTTGCGACAACAGAAATATTAGTTTTCATAACAGAGACATCGCTTCTGATCACCTAATTTTCAGTTGGTTCCTATTTGGTTGCACCAACTGAAATTTTTTTTGCGTGCAACAAATGAACTTGAAGTCATACATGACTCCATCTTGTTGCTTAATGTCCCATAATTTCACCTTGTTGTTTAAGGATAGCCAGAAACGTTTCCCTTCTGTATAAAGTCAAAGAAATTTTCTTATGCAAAACAATATTAACGAATAAAACACGAGTCGTGTAGATGCACGAAAAGTTAAGGTATATGTTAAGGAACAGCTTCTAACGTAACCAAATAAATCGGTACACCAAGGAGACCCATAATGCGACAAAATAACAAGGAACACCCGTTTGATTGCAGGAGGATGCAGCCAGGGGTGACAGTGGCTCTTGCCACGGTCTGGCTGGCGGTGGCGGCGGGTGTGGTAGGAGCAGTCACCCCGCGACCCCTCCGCCTCTCCCACGATCAATACTCCCCCGCGTCCCCAAGCCGCGACGGGGTTCAACAGGACCAGGCCGACTGGAGGGTTCACGATCCGGCCAAGGATCAACCGCTCGACCTTTGGATCGGCTCGCAGAGGTCGATTTCTGCGGAGGGTAAGTTTGACTCGTGGCACTACGCAGCGAAATAAATTGCCGTATTGTGTCTCGCTCATTGAACTTTCCAAAAAAAAGGAAAACGAGATTACTCGCGCTATTAACATTTCAGAGAAGAATTCGACGCGAAAGCTTGATTGTGTGTCTTACTGCGTAGTTTCCGGTTTCCTCTGTCTTTATAAATAAACGCACGTGCGCAGACGCGGATACAACGAGAAAATTTAGAAGAAGAAATAATCTATTGGCGCTTCTCGGTCTGCTAGAAGTATACAGCGCTCTAGTTCGACCGGCTTTTCAGTTACGTCAGCGATTTAATTCTGTCGGGCCGCCTCGTCTAATGGAGACGGAATAGGCGCATCGCGACGAAGCGTGTCGCTCGGCCTAACCGGTGGAAATCCGTTCGCCGGCTTTTCCCCCGGCTTTCCTGATTAATCAAGGTCTCCTCGGTCGTCTTCGTGCAATTCCAATATCGAGCGAGAGAACCCGCCCACGATTGATAAAAGATCGCATTTCCGACACGCATTCAGCCCCAAACGCGACCGCTTTCATTTTATAATTGAATGCACCACATTCACACAGCGATAATAAAAGCCGAAATGCGCATGTCTCGATTTACATCCTCTATGTAACCGAAATTCTACAGATCTGTATCAACATGTTGTACATCGTTGTAACATAGCTGTAACGTAGCTGAAATTTCACAAGAGAACGTGATTTGACGAAAAAAGAAGTATTTAGAAAGAAGCGCAAAAACAGATGATTCTACACGGGGGAGTATTTTATGGCAAAAATTAACCGAGGAATAAATCGACATTCCGCGATAATCTTTCTCTTTTCACCTCGTATACCCCAAATAATATAATCTCATTCTTGACGAAATTCTCTTATATATGTGACCTTAAGAGGGTTCTTCTAAAACCAAAAGGAATATATTCTAACGCCAAAAAAAAAGTCTAGTCGCAAGGCGCTACCTTCTGTAAACATATACTCTAAACGAAAGCTTTGATCGAAAGAGTATTGCTCTTCTAATGAAGTGTGCACTATTAATCTACTAGACATTCTATTTTTTTTTCAAATTAAGAAAGAGATATTTACTTGAGGCAGAATGCCCTTTTACTAAAAAAAAATATTAAAAATATACTCAGTTATTAATAATTTACTTTGTTTCTACCAAAATTTAATATGCTTCTATGCAAGATAAATCTTATTGACAATCTAGTTTTTGCTACACTGATAGAAACACTAGATGTTTGATTGCAGGAGAATGCAGCCAGGGGTGACAGTGGCTCTTGCCACGGTTTGGCAAAATCGGTCAGGTTAAACTAAATGATCTAAATTTGAAGAGAATTCATATGAAAAGAAAAAAAAACTATATTATTCCCTTTATGTAAAAAGTAATAAAAGCAGTAATTTTTCCGAGTTTTCTGCATATTTGCAGACGACGGGCGATAATAGGGGCGATGGCTATTATTTAGGGCATAATAACGGAAGGTCTCTATATTTTCCGGGTAACGTGACTGCTTTATACATTATAACGGAGCACGCAAGAATTTCGGGTAATAAATTGAAGTCCGTATTATTCACGTCGCTACCAGTTCGCGACTAGATTAGTTCTAGTCGTGCGCGTTATTAAATATCTTTTAAAGAATCTCGTTCCGTGGATTAAATTGGAATCGAGGTTTCAAGCGAAAGCCGCGCGTTCGTGCGTGAATATCGACTCTCCGAATGTATCTAATTTATATGAGACAGAAATTGTACTCAATGGCATCTGATTCCAATCGCGTGATAGCCAATTCACCTCAGATATCACGCGCACACATCGATGCACACCGATATCAAGTCATTTTATACTTTCCAAATTCAATACGGAGTTTGTAACTTTCTATGCGTTGCAATTACTCGCCTTGCACACATCTCGGAAAAGTTTCGCGTCGCAAAATCTTATATATTCGCAATATCCGTAGCGATGGCAACGCGGATATATATGCGCGAATGTATGTGCATGACTCACTGCGAATCGAAAAGTTCATTTCTAGGGAAATTCCGAATTTGACGTTCCGATTATAGTTCTATGACGCAATATTCCGTTCTGTGTCTATATGGGAGAAAAATATCTGAGAAGCAAAAAATATTTATTTGATGAATACTAATAACATTATACTAACAAACATATTTTTACATTGAAAAATATTTCTTTGAAATGAGATTTATTTTTTAAAACCGTTGTGCTTTTCACAAAAGCAATTATTTATTCTATTTAAACAAAAATATTTAGATTTAAATAAATATGTATTGTTATTAATACCCATTAGAATAAATATTTTTTAACTCAGATATTATCTTCAGTGCACAAAAAATAATAATATATTATAAAAAATTTTATATTGCCAACAGACCTAAAAATCTACGATATCATGAATGTGTCAAAAAGTTAAAACAAAGTTAGATTTACGCGCTTTTCACAGATTCACCTGGTCTATCTGGCAATGCCGAGCGAAATTTTCCTTCGAAAGAGCCCGTGAAGGACGTCCCCTTGTCAAAGCAAAACTCCCTAGCTTCAAGTTGGCAGACATGGCTGCTGAATATCGGCGGTTCGGAATTCGCAGCCGACAAAGTCGATTACGGCGGGATGCCGGAAACGCTTCCGCGCGAGGTGCCCCTTTCAGAGGCGGACGATCCCTTTGTGGCGGACGACACGTTCCAGGATCAAGGCCCCGGCTCAGTGGAGATATACAAGTTGGACCTGTCGAAAGAGAAGGCCCTGTTGACCGCCACCACGCCCTCTGCGGCGTTACCGACAAGGAACAAGAGTAAAGCCCCGAAGAAGGTAGACCGCGTTAGCTCAAAAACGAAGACAACGGAGATTAAGTCAACGACCAGTCCGAAGAGCCTTCGCAGGCAATCGAACTTCTTCGAGGAGCAACGAACCGAGACGCCGGTCAACAGGGACGCCTTCGGTGTAGGTGGTGTGCCGGAGCTACAGGTTGGATGCGAGGGCCTCGCCGCGTGGTCCCACAAAACGAAGAGATCGATAGAGACGCCCGGTAAGGAGGAGGCGAACGCGCCAGCCGAGTTGCTGGACGTGTCGTCGATGGTAGTGAATCTCGACCACGGTCCCTACGAGGTCGAGGAGGACTACGAGGAGATAGACGAGCTGTTCCGAATCAGGAAAATGGAGCAGCTCGCTGCACAGAGGAGCAAACTGAACAGGGGCGACATAGATCCCGTTCTCAATGCCCACTACCTGAACGATCGTTGGTCGGACGAGTTACCGGTTCGGGGAGATCTAGGCGAAACCGCAACGAGATCGAGAACCCTCCGGGAGTACTCGCGAAAGCTGTCGGACGGTGCCGGAACGGGTCGCCACAAGGAAGCTAACGCGAAGCGAGAGACCGTCTCCACGTTGGATGATAATAACAAGAGTCGCGGTCGACGGTTGCTGTGGCTCGCCGAGGCAAATACCGAGGGATTTGCGGGCGACGAGCGGAAGCGTGCGAAGCGGCGGATCGATTGGGGTTTTGGCGAGGACGAGGGCGTCGTGTCCAGCGACGAGCTGCAAACCGTGAACGAGCGTCGCAGGCAGCACGAAATGCGACACCACCAGGATGCGGGAAAACGACTACGCGAGCCGGACACCGAGATCGATAATATCAGACAGGAATACGAACAGGTGCTAGAGCAGAAACGAAGGGAGGAGGAGGAGCGGCTGCGACGAATGCAACAGGGTGGCCGGAGGACACCGAACGGATGGCAAGAGGAAAGGGACGAGATGCGGAGGAGACAATACGAGGAGTACCGCAGACGGACAGATCACGTTTCAGTTCCTCGCTCAGATGATGAGGAGGCGCGACGAAGACCAGACGCAGGTCGAACGCAGGAGATGGCCAGAAGAAGAAACGAAGATGAGCACAGGAGACAAGAAGAGGAGGAACGGAGACGGCTGCAGGACGAAGCTAGGAGGAGACAAGAGCAGTACAGGTGGCAACAAGAGGCGCAACGACGGAAAGAAGATGAGGAGAGAAGGCGAGAGAACCATTCCGCGAGAAATTTGTCCGAAGACAGAAAAAGATTGGAGGAGGAGCGTCAATGGTCGGAAAGACAAAGACAGAAGGACAAAAGGAGACAACAGGACCGAGACGAGACGCCGGCGAATCTGATGCGCTCGGGAGCGCACCACCAGTCCGGCCACCCGAATGAGCTTGGACAACGCGATCGGCATCAAGAGAGACGCATGCAAGAGGAAGAGAGACGGCGCGAGCAGAAGCTAAAGGAATACATCGCACGAAATCGACCTATCAGCGTGAATCGAATGAATATAAACGACGAGTATCGTAGACAACAAGAGGATGAACTTAGAGTTCAGGATTACGTCAGAAGGGAACGGCCGTTGAACATTTCGAAGAGTGATCAGTCGATTGGCCGCGAATTATTCGATCAGAGGAGACTGATCGAGGAGGCCAGGCAACGCAGCAGGCACCCTGATCCAGGAGCAGCGAGAAGACGCGGCCCGTGGGCACCGACGAATATCGATCCGCGAAGCTCGCTGGAGGAAGCTAGGAGGAGGGAGGAGGCGAGAAGGTTGGAGGAAGAGAGGCGACTGGCGAGGGAACGGCAGCGGCACGAGGCGGAAGAGCGACGGAAGGAACTTGCCAGGCGATGGCAGGAGGAAGAGGCGAGGAGGCTGCAGGAGGAACGACGGAAAGAGGCGACCAGGAGGGAGGAGGAGGTGAGGAGGGAGCAGTCCAGAAGGTATGAGGAGGACAGAAAGCGTCTGGAGGCGGCGAGGGTGCAAACCGAGAGACGGAGGCAGGAGACGCGACCGAGGGAACACGGTTGGGATGGAGGTCGAGCCGTTGGAGCAACGAGACAGCCGGAAGCCACGAGGTCGTCCGATCAGGACCCTCGTTTAGAGGAGCACAGAAGAATACAGGACAGTCGACTGATTCCGAGCTATTTGGTACGAGACGACGCCAGGCGGTTGGCGGAGAGGCAGCAAGAAAGGGCCCGACTGGAGGCCGAGAGACGACGGCAAGAAGAAGAGAGCAGGTGAGGGTAAGGGCAGTTCTCGAGAAAACGCCGGCGAAAACGAAATTTCCCGCTGGGCTGGCTGCATGCCAGCTCAACTTTATTCGCGCCGCTATCAATGCTCGTTACTACTATCGTCCCGCGTCTGTCCGCTCGTTTGTTCCTGCTCCACTTTTGCTCCCTTATTGCCAGGAAGTACGGTTACTTCGTCGTCGAGGGTCGATTGTACCACTGCCGCGACATAAATCCTCGCGGTTGTTCGTACAAAGCGAGTACAAATGAGAAAACGGTATATCCAAGAAATACAGGTGACAAAAACCTTTCACTTCGTTTCTTTACTGTATTAGGATTGTTAGCATACTCATCTTCGTCACACGAACGCCTGTTGCACTTGAAGCCGAAAAGTATCATTATCGCGTTTCGCCCAATTCGTTCAACACTCTGTGTGTTCGCGGGATATGAAGTACTATTTCTCTATTCGCGTGAAACTTAAAATCGACAACAGCTAAGCTAATGATACGATTTTAATCAAGAAAACCCTCAGTGTGCAAGACAGATCCCTTTAATGTCTATCTAATGAATCCTTGCTGTTCATGAAATGAGGATAAATGACAAGATGAACCTTCCGACTTGTCGCAGGAGACAGACCGATTCGTGGAGACAACAGGAAATAACTAGACTACATGCCCTGCCGGTGAGCGCAAGGATAATAGTTCGTCCCGGCAGCTCCACGTCATCCAGCTCGCCGTCAGTGATATCGAGGGGTAGCTTCGAGAACGAGATCGAGTTCGCGGTGAGTCCTTCATTTGTCTGTCACAACGCTTGGTCTCAATCCGCCTGGCAGACTGAGCTCACCGCCGGTTCGTTCACGGTGAATCCGATCCGAGCTGGTCGATTGTCTCGCGCTACCGAACCGTGCGCGCTTCGTTAACACATATCGCAGTGAAAGTTGCGGCGGGTTTCCGCACGGAGAGACTGCGCACCCCATCGACCCCTCGACCCCGAGAGCGCGCCGCTTTGTTCCGCTTAATTGACCGGGCGCTGAGCAGCGCCGTCGTTGCCTCCTCTCGTGCTCTCTTCGGCGCTTCCTCGCAATATTCTCGCCGAAAGTGGCAATATAAATAATCGCAAGAGAAGGGCACGCGGGAGAAATAGAGGCGCGCCAAACGTGACGTGAAACAATTGAGATTTCGATAGAGAAAATTGTGACTCTTGGCAATATTTTCTATCAAAACCACAAAATCATAAATCGGTATCTCGAGATGACGTTCCAAAAATGACCTAGATATTTTTTTATTCTGATTATGCGCTTTTTATGAGATGCAACTCGTGAAAATTATTGAGTTTATAATTGACCGGGCTATTTCCAGGGAATCAATCCGAGTCGCCATGGTGTACAAGCTACGAGTTTTCCTGCACCGCCAACTTCGAGACCACCTGCCCTGAGCCCTGGACCGTGTGTCTGGGCGGTCGTTCAGTGTTGCTCGCGCAACAACAATCGTCTCACCAACTGTTTCGAATCAATGGGCTGTCCTGGAATTAATTGGGACGCTAACCCGTGTAGAAGTTCCATTGCGGAAGCCGCCAGAGCGGAAGTCATGAAGTTCTATGCTGCCGCGGAGAATCCGTGATACGTAAGATACGTGATACGCCCTTTGCTCAGCGAGAGCGAGCGAGAGAGGGGGAGGGAGGGAGAGAGAGAGAGAGAGAGAGAGAGAGAGAGAGAGAGAGAG